TTCTGAACAAAACATGGAAAAAGCAAAGTTTTTCAAAGGGTTCTTCAAACCTTACAGCCTAGAAATCAGAATGAAGTTGTTTATCAAGAAGTTATCTGAGTCGAGCGAGCGTAAAGAAATCATCCCATAAATCTCAAAAAAAGTCATCTCTAAAAGATATCTTCGCAGGGAAATCAGCCCCTCTTATGGACTCCGATGAGTGGTTGGCACGTCTCGTCCATCCCACCTCCACCAAGAAATAACTTTTAGGATCTCCTTCCAATGAGATGGAAGTCCAAGTGCTGCCCAACATTGGCTAGGAGCTAGCGAATGTAAAAGAAGATATTTTAACAAGAAGCCGTTGGTGAGTTCCAAGCAGGGTCGGTCCTATCGTTGATACATTTTGAAAAATTTTTTACGACCCCCCTCCTCCAAGGTGGACTTGGTCCGACCCCCTTCTCCCCACCTCGACCACCACCGTCATCACCATAACTGTTCATCTGTTCATATAGTATTTAATTCTGGGATCACTCGACACTCGACAACATACAAAACCCCAAACTCCGCCCACTTTTTTCCAAAAAACGCCATCGAGCGGGGGGGGGGGAGGGGAGGTATATACGCGCGCTGAAACGGCAAATCTTTATCCCGCGCACCCTCAATTCACCCAACCCACAAAATAGTTTCACCTCAATCGCATGCGATTTCGTGCCAGGCGCAGAGAGTACGACCCTCCCTCCTCCTCCAACTCCATCCAAGTACGACACCTCCCTCCTCCAACTCCATCCAAGTACGACCCCCCCCTTCTTCAACTCCATCCAAGTACGGCCCTCCTCCTCCTTCAACTCCATCCAAGTACGACCCCCTCCGTTGCTACTTGTAGCAACATAGGACTGACCTTGGTTCCAAGAGCTGGACGGTCCAACTAGCTTGCACTCATTTAACGGCTAACATGAACCGGAGGCGAAAGGTAAAAAATTGCGTTTAGCAACAAGTCGGATTTCTGCCTTCTTGGTTATGGAGTGTGACCTTTGTGGTTTTCTCTGAACAGGAAACCCGATTTTAGGAAGTGCATCATAAGAAAGTGTGGAAGTATTGCCAATGATGGGGACGTTCTTGACCACTCGGTGATTCCCCAGTTCCTTGCATCTAGCGAAATGTGGCATGAGCACAGGAAGGATAGACTGGAGAATGAAATGCCTCGGTTCGGTAGTCAAATAATGCCCAAAAGTGTTGGTTATCTGCCACGGCAATAATCCGTACAGGCCTACCTCCTCGTTGCCGCCTTCTGAACAAAGAAAAAAACTGTATGAAGCAACCAAGTTAGATTCTCAATTCAAACTGAGTTGAGCTCTCTGGGGAAGAGCTAGCAGTCGTACAACCCACATTACGGTCAAGAATCGAGCATTAATTAGATTGCAGTCAAACATTAGATTAGGTTTACGAAGTGCCTGCTTCGACTTGAGGCTTCAAAAAAAAGGTGTTTTCACAGTATATTGTCAAGAGAAAGTGAGGCCGTCATAAAAACATACAGCTAGTAAACGAATGAATGACCTTTCACGAGAATTCGAGACTTATTTTGTCGAATTCGGTACAGAGTTGCGTAGTTTACAAACTTTTGACGCACCATTTTTTTAATCCGTATTTTTCAACTGCGCTACTCGATTTTAGGAAGCTATTCTGTGCGTCGTATTCTACACTTGATTTTGTAAATAACATGCTAACTTGAGACAACTTTTCCGCCTGCTGACCAAGCCAGGTGAAAAACAAAAAATTTCCAAACTTTTGACCGCTACTGTATTTGCATTCCCTCTCTCAAATTGAAGTTCCGGCCTTCTCGTGACCACTAGGCTTTTGGATGCCAAGATTACCCCAAAAGTTGTATAGTTCTTTTGTTATGGGATAATTGAGATATATTCTTCGTGATGGAACTCAGTGCCAGCTCTTTTTATCGTGCGCAGTAACTTCTTTAGAATGTGGCTTTTTTGTGGAGTTGGGAAAGCTTGACTCATTTTCGCTGAAGCTCTCTTTGGAGAGTTCTCTAGGAGGCAATTTCTTTAGAAACCACCACTCGGGCTTATATCGTGCGGGTGCAGGTTCTAGCGCTTCTAAAGCTCGAAGTGGTTTGTGGTGGAATCTTTGTGGTGCAAATTTTTACATTTTCGACTGGCCCATGCATAATGTCGCAAAATGGTACCCTCGGCTCAACGCGCTCCCACTTTTAGCCAAGCCGGCCTTCTTCTATGGAATTCTTTAGCCTCTAGCGGGCGACCGGTACCAAGCAGATAAAAATTTCATCAAGAAAAAGACCTACCACAAGGCGATGCCATTATGTAGTTATCTCCTCAATCGTGACACTCAGAAGTGCTCCATCATAGAAGGAGCAGTGGCGGTGTTCATCACAAATGATGAAATTCAAGGGCGGCGCTACTCACAGGTGGGTTCTGCAGCCTCAAAGTGCGTGCATATAAAATGTAAATCTCGTTCTTGAATAATATTCAACTTCTTGTGTGGATGCCTTTTTAGTTGGAAATACTCGGTATACATACACGGTATTCATAATTGAACATTGTTGGAGGAACTGATGCGTTCTTTTTGCTTTTCACATTTATCTATTACACATTAGCGGTTTGTAGATCAAACATTTGTTTTCCATGTTTCTTCGGAGACCTGCTCAGCTGTAATACGATGTGTGGCACGCGGTGTTAATAGGTATCAAGTACCCTAAAATCTCATAGATAAGAGCGGTTCAATTTACCGGTGAAAAATGGATTGGAATGAAACTGAAATTGAATGCAGACCCCTCTAACTTGATGGGTGGATAAATGAAAATCGGAGAAAAAGTTTAGAAGAAGCTCCGCCCCTCAACTCTAAACCCCGCCCACTTAATAAACAATTCATTTAGAAAAGTAGCGGTTTCAACGGAATTTCTGCCGGAATCTCTCTAGAAATGCCGGAATTTGATCTCTGGATAGAACTTGAAGATCCCATTCGATCAGTAAAATTTTATAGATAAGAGCTGTTTAATTTACCGGTAAAAAATGATTTTGAAAAAATTTTTATTTTATTATTTATTTTATTTTATTTTCTATGGACCGCTCTTATCTATGGGATTTTAGGGTAGGTGGAGATTTTCGATGTACTCAACCGCCACCGAGTTCCAGTAGGAGTGTGCCCAGCAAGGAGGATCCCGCGAAGTGCTGAACCTCTGTTCAGAATTTGTACGGCATTCATATAAAAAGTTGATGTAAATGATCCGCGAAGTATGCGCACAGCCACCAGTCAATATCTAATCGAAAACATCTAATGCTGAGCATTCTGGTACCGGTCACGAAGGTTACTTCGGTGCCTCAAACTTCGTCGCGCCTACGTTTCCACACAAGAGGGAAGCCAAGCAATCGTCGACCATCTGTACCGTGTTGGGCAGCACAAATGCCTTTGAAATGTTCACAGTTCAAATATATTAAAAAAATTCAATTGTTAGCCATTCTGCTACTTGGTAATCATTACCAAAACACAGGAATGTCATTGAGAAGTCCGAGTCGTTTCAATTATAAGGAGAATGACTTTTCCGTGCAAAAGGCAAAAACAAATTCAAATTGAATTGCTAACTCCAAATTACTTTTCAAACGATCCGAACACCTGAGGACAACTCTGAAATGAAGTACGATCAAAAAACTCTTTGAAAAAGCCGTCTGCTAATTATCCGCAAGCAATTGCGTCACGAAACATTATAGAGATTGTTGCTGCTCGTGATAACTTTTGTGATAACTCAACAAACTTGGGATGGAAACTTCATCGTATGCGCTCGCAAACCAATCCGCATAGGCTAAAGCTCTCAGTTTGAAAACAATACTGTTGGACTGCTCTCCTCTTGGTCAGCCTCACTTACACCTTTTCTTTCCGTAGACATCTACTAAGTATCGCTCAGGTAAGCAACCCAGCCGTTTTGGCGTTCCTGCTGGGGCGATATGCTGAATTTCAGGGAGGGGATGGGGTCCTCGACGGTCGACAAACTACTTAACTCGGTCCTTTAAACCCAATATGATGCTCACCTCAAAACTAAGTCTAGGAGAGAGGACGGACTTGCAAGATCCGTCCTATCTTCAAGGCTTAGTCCTGAGATAAGCGAACCGGCCCTTTTGGCGGAGTTTCGACGTAGCTGCACCACTTCCGTCATCACTCCTACCGTACCAACCATGTCGGAGTATTTTTCGACCTCGTGCATCCTATCGCTTTTCCAGCATTCGCTTACGGCCCCACCAGAAACCCCAAAATGTCTGGTTTGCATACCACGGCAACGATAAGCTATCCAACCTATGCAGTGTACACGCCGTAAGCAACAATGGCGCAGTGGTTATGTTCCCAGAACACCACGACGCACGCCCTGGTTCGAATCTCGTCTGTTACGTAACGTTTGGCAATTTTGTAGCCTGGCAATCTTCTCGAAATCTGGCTTCCAAGAACCTGCGACTGCATGGAGTAGACCGGTACGCTCCGTAGGAGTTAGTGATTTAAAACAGTCGCGGCGCTAAATAGCTAGGGTTCCGTCAATGCATTTGTATTGTAGCGGTGTCAGTGAACCCTCACACAGAACACACCCGGGTTCGGATCCCATCCGCTCCGGACCTTTACAGTATTGTAACGTGACAATTTCTCGAGGAAGTCTATCTGTCCACCTATCAAAGAAGCATATAGCCACTACTGAAAAATGCATTCCCTTAACTTCCTCACAAACGCCAAAAAGGGTGGTTTGGTTACCGCGGTATAGATAACGTATTCAGTTCTTGGTCATGAGCAACAATGGCGCAGTGGTTAAGTTCACGGACCACCACGACGCACGCCCAAGTTCGAATCTCGTCCGTTACGAAACGTTGCGATTTTGTAGCCTGGCAATCTTCTCGAAATCTGGCTTCCAAGAACCTGCGACTGCATGGAGTAGACCGCTACGACTACGTTCCGTAGGAGTTCCAGTAGTAATCCGAACAGCCGTGGCGCTGGATAGCGAGGGTCCTGTCAATGCGTTTGTGGTGTAGCGGTGTCGGTGCACGTTCACACGGTACAGGCCCGGGTTCGAATCCCGTGTGGTTCACATCCTTTCCAGATTTGCACCGTGACATTTTCTCGAAGAAATCTATCTATCTCTAACATCCTTCCAAGCGAAAAATTGGAACACACCTACAAGGGCAGCGCTGAGAATGGTTGACCAGAGGAGTTCTAATGGAGCAGTGGAATGTGGGGCGGCTCTCGTCTGCTAAATAATGGTATCGCATCCGACCAGCGATCAATTTTGCTCATCACAGTCTTTCATAGGTCTGGGTTCTCTTATCTAAAGATTTGCCGCCCCTCACCCGCTCAGAGTACGTTTCAGCTCTGAGTGCGGCCAGTTGAGAAGCTATGTGCTCATATGTTGCAGGGGTGATCGAGCCTTCCTGCGTCAGCCCATCCAGTGGTCGCCCTGTCCATCGAAGGGATGGCGAAGCAAGAGCCACTCGGGAGGGGAACGTTTCTAGGGCTGCGCGATCATTAAAGCCCACGTTCATGCTTGAGCTCAGGCTTAAATTGAAGCCCAAGGTTAAGCTTAAGATTCGGCTTACTTAGGCCTATGCTTATACGTGGCTTATGATGAAGCCTAAGGTTAAGGTTAAGTTTCGCCTTAGTTACGCCTATGCTTATACATTGGCTTATGATGAAGCCTAAGGTTATGCTTAAGCTCATTTTCGGCGCAAGTTGAACCTATGAGCTTTGTGGTTCTTTTGCAAAACGGTTGCTGTACCAGGAATCGATCTAAAGATCGTGCATTTGCAAACAGCCCCACATTGCTCTCGGCCATTCCGCTCAACACCTGCACCTTCTCTGAGCGGTTACATGAACACATCGCACCAGAAACCTTGTGACTCCCTCAATTTCAAAAGCTTTTTATAAGGAACCGGTCACTATTAGGATATCGGATAAGCTGGATACCACCATGGATTCCGTTAGAGCCACCAAAAATCCGGCTTTTTCTTGAAGCCGATAGAGCCAGCAGTGCGCTGAGCTTACATCGGACACAACGACCCTGTTGTCTTGATGTGCCCGCTCAGGGATTTAAGCACCCATATCCGATCCGCGTTCGAGATCCATTTGGATGCGAAACCCTGCCTCGCGGGACCCATCGGTCCCAATGGGAACCAAGTTTGGTTCCCATTGGGCCCGGTGTCCCGCGAGTCAGGGTGTCGCATCCAAATGGCCCGCAAGATGTTACGTATTTTATGCTGGCTAGGAATATTGGTAAACATAGCAAAATATACAACGCAAAAATCTAGTCAGATCTATCACATCACCGTTCGAATGGTCCCCTCCACTTGCCATCATTTACTAGCCAGATGGACGGACCAGTCATTCCGGGGGGCCAAACAAGCGGTGTTGCACCACGAGTTTACCAGTCGATTAGCATTATCGGGCCTAGAAGAGGGGAGGTGCCATGGAGCATATGCACTTCGGCCGTTGTATATGGTACCTCTAGGAACCATATACATAGGTCCTGATGTGAGCGTTATTAGCTTCGCATGAGACTCCCGCTCATGGATTCAAGCCCCCATATCCGTTCCATATTCGAGATCCATTTGGATGCGAAACCCTGCCTCGCGGGACACAACCGGTCCCAATGGGAACCAAAATTGGTTCCCATTGGGACCGGTTGTGTCCCGCGAGTCAGGGTGTCGCATCCAAATGGCCCGCAAGACGTTACGTATTTTATGCTGGCTAAGGTCTTTTAGTTAACATACCCCAATATTGAATGTCCAAATCTCATCCGATGGTCCACATCACCGTTCGAATGGTAACCTGGCTTGCCATCATATACCTGTCAGATGGAGGGGATCAGATCATTCGGGGTGCTGAAGGTGGTGTAGCATTAGGACGAGTTTGCCAGTCGATTGCCACTGTTGGGATATCCTTAGCTGAATGGAGGTGCCGTGGAGCATATGCCGTTGGATGTTACATATGGTGCCTTTGTTACGGTCGATACCTATTGACGGCTTGATCGGCGAAAATCTTCCATGACAAGAAACTACTTGACTGCCTGGCTACTCGTGGGGCACCAAGTCCACCACATCACGAAACCCTATCAGCTATGATGGGGGCCAGTTTCGAGAGCAAAGCATGGCTGTTGGCCTTCGTCTCAGGCCGACGGCCCAACCCAGGACGGATCGACTTCGGCCATAATGGACTTTGGCCAAATTTGCATACTTTGCCGACTTGGTACTCCATTGGTGTCTCTTGTGGCACCGTATCGGTCGATATCGGTGCGCAAGGCACCTCCTCAATCGGAATCGATTCAGTGACTACCCGAGAGCCATCACCCATTTTTAGCGAGGCATATATGTGTGGAAAAGGAAGGCGATCGACTAGGTCCTTGTATCAAGTGGTCGGTCGCTCTGGCGCGGTCGAGCTTACAGTTATGGCCACCCTTGTCGGGCACCACATACAACGGCCAGCCAACATATCCTCATGGTCACTGAGCCCTACCAGAGACATCCCAACCGTGATATCGAGCGATAAACCCATTTGAGCGCTACAGCATTCGTTCAGCACCACGATGATCTGATCATCGACCAACGTCGATAGCTGATACACGGGGGTCCGTCTCAGCCATTTTTTCAGGGATATCGACGCATCGCATGTAACCCCGATTTAGACACCTGGAAAAACATACAGCTCACGCGTTCCGCACCACCTGGTTGGAAAGGGATGGCGTGTCGAAGTGGCCGTTAAAAAACTGTGATGTGGACCATCGGATGAGTTTTGGACATTCAATATTGGGGTATGTTAACTAAAAAACCTTAGCCAGCATAAAATACGTAACATCTTGCGGGCCATTTGGATGCGACACCCTGACTCGCGGGACACCGGGCCCAATGGGAACCAAGATTGGTTCCCATTGGGACCGGATATGTCCCGCGAGGCAGGGTTTCGCATCCAAATGGATCTCGAATTGGGATCGGATATGGGTGCTTACATCCATGAGCGGGAGTCACATCCGAGGCTAATAACGTTCACATCAGGACCTGCACGGTTGTTGCTTCCTATGTAAGCTCAGCACACCGCTGATTCTGATTCTGGCGGCTTTGGCAAAAAAGGCGCATTTTTGGTGGCTCAACGGGATCCGTGATGAGATCCAGCTTATATGATATCCACACAATGACCGTTTCCTTATAAAAAAGCCATCACAAGGCACCTGTTGCGATGGGTTCATGAAACCGCTAAGTATTTCGCGATGCGGAGGAGCGTAGCTGAGTGCAATGCGGGGCTGTTTGCGAATGAGCGGCTTGGGGATCGATTCCAGGCACAGCAACCGTTTTGCAAAAAAAATCACAAAGCACATAGGTTCAACTTGCCGCCCAAAAGTGTTCCCAGCGTGGAGACAAATGGCCGACCGCCATGTAGGGTCGTTCCCGCCAGTGCGGTCTTGGGATCAAGTCCCGACGACGGGATTTTTTTGCCGCCATTCTATAATACCATACAATGGTGTGACAAAAATGATAAAAGTGCCCTCACTCGCGGATGGCGCCGTATTTTCAAAACGGGCTGCCAGGCAACCAAAAATCCATAGGAGCCGCTAATTCCCTCGGAATCAGTGGTCGGGCGATCGGAGGCAGCGGAGTTCTGCCATTACTTCACAGCTCTCTGGCCATTCGCGACGCAATTCCCCATCGCACTCAGGCTCGTGTTCTCCAATTTTAGCCCAAAACACAATGGGAGTCCCTGGATGTGCTACCAGCCAGGTACACACAACAATTTGCGCAAAATACCTGAACATCTTCGAGTGCAAGGCTCTTCTACTGAGCCCACCCGGAGCTGAAACGTACACTGAGCTGGTCAAATACGGTGAATATTTAGATAAGAGACCCAGACTGATAAGTGATCTTCGACAAGCAAAAAAGAGCGCCAGGCGGATGCGATACCACGCGTTCTCAGACAAGAGCGGCCCAACATCGCACTGCTCCATCAGAACTCCTCTGATCAGACATTCGTAGCACTCCCCTTATAGGTGTGATGAAGTTTTAGGAGACAAAATGAACCTATGTGCTATGCGATTCTTTTGCAATACACTTGCTGTGCCTGGAATCGATCCCAAGAGCGCTCATTTGCGAACAGCCCCACATTGCACACAGCTACGCGCCTCCACGTGGCGGAATAGTTAGCGGTTTTATGAAACCATCGCGACAGGTGCTTTGTGACTCTCTTCGTTTCAAAGGCTTTTTGTAAGGAAACGGTCACTTTGAGGATATCAGATAAGCTGGATACCCACCACGGATTCCGTTAGAGCCATCAAAAATCCGCCTTTTTTTGTCAAATCCGCTAGATTCACAATTAGCGGTGTGCCGAGCTTACATTGGAAACAACGACCATTTTGGTTCTGATGTAAACGTTATTAGCTTCGCATGAGACTCCTGCTCATGGATTTAAGCACCCATATCCGATCCGAAATCGAGATCCATTTGGATGCGAAACCCTGCCTCGCGGGACCCATCGGTCCCAATGGGAACCTATCTTGGTCTTTTGTTTGTACCCAGATTACTTTGCATGCTACACAAATGAGAAAAAAGATTTCAGAAGTCGGCGCCGCCATGTGACGCACGCCAAACCGGGCCCAGGAGCGTTACGTGCGTTGTGTATTAAAAGGAATCGTGCACGGATATGGAGACAAAGTTCCCACCAAAACCTGTACTGTCCCATGCTTCACGAGCATGACTAAGAGATCCCAAATTTGCCGTCCTATCTGACAAAAAACATCAAGTAGATCATATTCCTTGCAAATTCCCGCAGTAAACTGTTATAATGTTGACAGCGGTTGACAAGGGGTCGTCGCGCGGCGAGATGGCCGAGGCTCGGATGGGTAAGCGGACGATTCGCATCGTGTAATGTACGACATGAAACGAAGTATGGCACACTCTATCAGAAATCGATAAAACACGCGCTGCAACTCGCCCGCTGACCTCTCTGCGTCTCTACCATCTGTCGCGCGACGGGCCTCCTGTCGGGTACCCGCGTGGAAACTGACGTGCGCGAACGTGCTGAACGCGTGCACATGAACGGGTTGCACGCAGG